CTCAGAAAATCCGTTCCTAATTCGATCGGGAGGATCTCAGTGGCTGACATCCCCAAATTAGAGGAAAATTCCTCGAACTAGAACTATGCCGGATCGATCCAGTCAAAAGTGTACGATTGTACAGGCAACGTCGTTCCTCGTTCAGGGTTAATAGAGGTCCTCGAGCGATAATAACGAGAAAAGAATTTCTCTAGAGGAATAAGTGTTTATAAATCTGGCCGACACACCGAGTGTCACTCTTTCTTCTTCTCGATAAGATCGCGAGAATTCGAATCGTGTGTTTCGAAACCTCCCCCGCTCTTCTCTCTTTCGATCGGGTCGGTTTCTTCGAACCAGGGAGAAGAGAACGCGAAAATTCGTTTTCTAGCGTGGCTAATGGCTTTAAGAGAGAAGCACGTACAAAGGCAGGTAGATCCCGATGCGGATAATTCAGCAGCGCGGAAAGGAAAAACAGGTTTCGAAATAAAATTTCGAACGAGACGAAGACGAGAGTGGTGAAACGCGCCAAGGTGGCGAACAAGGGAAATTTCTTACTTCGTTTCTTTCTTCCCTCTGAACCGTTGACCATCCACGTAACTCCGATACTCGAAATACTTGGCAAGTTGATAAGAATTCGGATGCAACTTTCGATGGATCGCCTCAAAACGGAGAGGTTGGTTGAAACGCAACAACGAATTCCACGAGCGCGAGACAATTTTCGAAAAACTCTCGACGAATTTGTCTCGTCTTCTGTTTTCGCTTTACGCGACTCGACTCTCGAATGCAAATCCTTCTTCTTCTTCTTCTTCTTCTTCTTCTTCTTCTCGTGGTTCGCGTCGAAACTTCCAACGCTGTTTGGAATTTTACCGCTAAATTTGAAAAAACATTCAAAGAGAGGGGAAACATCTTTCCTGTTTCTCTATCAGATCGATTCTTTCGCAAAAGATTGCAAGTCGTGGAGGTATTAAAACACAATGAGCAACAGCATTGTCCCGGTGGCTCGATATTTTTCTCGGCTTAAGATAAAACTGTAATGCAACGCCTGTTCGGGGAAAACCTACTTATCGAAGTAATCAGCGCGAACCCATTCGAGAGCAGCTAACGGAAAGGTTTCTCGTTGCTTTCTTATCTCGACTACGGTTTCAGAAAGGCAATTGCGAGAAAAGGAAAACAGCGAGGATGGAGGAGGACCGACGCCGTTTTCCTTGTTTTTAATCTCGTTATTTTTCCGCGACGGAAAAATCGCCGAAAACCATCGAAACGAAGCATTCCTTCAACAATTCCCTCGAACATTGGCATTCGAGTGATAAACCTAAAAAAATAAAAAAAAGAAACGCACGTGATTTTCGCGTCGTTTTCGTATCGGTTGTTTCACGAAATTGTATTCACGCAAACATTCACGCGTTCTTCCTGCTCTCTGAAAGAAAATGAAACGTGGATTCAAACGCGACACGTTACGAGGAGGACATCATTCTTCATAGCGGGCTATAAACTGTATTCGTTATATAATATATATATATATCTATTCTCGTAATTGCGGCAAACTTCGACAAGGACTGGGTGAAGCACGTTGTTAGCGATACGACACCGATTCGATCCGAGAGATAAAAAAAAAGAAGAAAAAGAAAAAGAAAAGGGACGACGGATTAAACTCCTCTGTCCGTTCGAATATTTCATATCGGATCTTCGAGCGAATGAATGAAAGAAGAAGAAATCGAACGACTTGTCAGCCAGCTGCCATAATTATCATCGCATCCGCGCCTGCATTTATTGTCCGTTGGTCGGTTGGCTGACCGATAATGGCTGACTCTTTTCTTTTTTTTTTCGTGAACAGTGTGTCCACTATCGTCCAAAGAAACTCCATCCAATTCCGGATAAATCGTCGGTGAGAGGACGGATGACGAATTATCGAGAAGAATTAATTCACCAGCGATGCGTCACCGGCGGAGGAAGAGGAAGAGGGACATCGGGGAGAAAAAAATATGGCGAAAGCCAGTTTAATGGATAACGGCCGTGTACGCATAAACGGCCCGAATGAAAATTTGATTCGTTTTCGAGGTGGAGAGAAGAGTTCTTCCTTCTTTTTCCTTCTTCTTCTTCTTTTTTCTAGAGTTTAAAAATACTCTAGATGAAAAGTGAACCAGCGCGTGGAAAAATGGGATTAACGATAATTTACAGGTGAGCGAGCGTGATAATGATAATTAACACAGAAATTTCGTTTCGATCGAGAGCGGACGGGGGAGGGAGAAAGAAGAAAAAAAGAAAGGAGACGTCTCTTCCTTTCCCGGATCCATTTCTCTTCCGTCGAATTGACGATAAAGATGATATAAACGATTCCCCTCTTAAAAGTTTATTTCAACGGGGGTATACGTTTGAGAATCTTCCGTTAAGCCACTCCCTGACAGCCGACGCTTCCTCTTTATCGTTCCCTCCTCCCCCTCCCCCCCCCCTTTATTATTTCTAATTACGTCCAAGAGCCGCCTTTTAAATAAAGGCAAGCGTTTCGCTCTCGCAGGGCGAGGAGGCCCGAAAGCCCTTAAGGTGAACATAAATTACCGTTCCGGGTAAAGAACAATTCCCAGAAAATTAATTTAACCGCAATATATTTGCGGCTTAGATTCACCCGTGGAGGGTGAAGGAGCGAGGAACAAGGGGGGGAGGAAGGAGGGGGGGGGACAAGGTTACGTAATATCTGCCACGGTTTGTTTAACTCCTCCTCCTCCTCCTCCTCCTCTTCCTTCTCCTCCTCCCCGATCGATTCCCCCGGCTTTCTTATTGTCCACGCCACAGCGGGAATTACAGCGGGAGAAAATCGCGCGGAAATAATTGCCACGACTCCGCCATTAATGCGGCAAGCCTTTAAGGAAGAACGAACGAGCGAACGGGGTGGGGAACTGTTCTCCTTCCAACCTCCTCCCACGCGAATATCACCCTAATCGCGCCGTTAAAAGCTTCGTTTCGCCCTAAACTTTCTTCCTCTTCGACCCGATTTCGAGCAGGTTGTAAGTTAGGTATCCGAAACACGGCTGATTCACACCGCATCGAGGAAGATTATCGTTGCTCGATCGTTGACGAGCGCATTACTTTCGATGGATTACTTCTTCTTTCGTGATAGATGATAGAGAATCTGGTCTCGAAGGGGAGGGAAATTTCGATCGGAAAATCGATCGATTGGAAATGATTCGTTAATAATTCGGGAATAACGATTAGGTTGGATATGGATGATAAAACGGCGGCACGCGTCGTCGCGCGCCATTTCATCCTTGTGTGCGCGCGCGGGATACGATTATTCCGTCCGTTCGATGATCCTGCTTTATCTGACGCGATTTCATAAATCCACCCTCGCTTCATCGATTCGTTTCACGGGTTAAACATCCGCCGTTTCTCCAATTTGTTCTGCTCGTTGTTGGATAATAATAATGGCTCGGCGGAACACGAATTGAACTGAGTTCTTCTCTTAATCTAATCTACCACGCGTGAAATATCGAGGAGGAAAAGCACGCACATTTTCGCCACGTGGCCTCGTAACGGTGCAATATCTCGGCCAGAGATACGGCATAAATTCGTCGAGAAGCCGCGTAAACGCGCGATAAACGACGGCGTAGCGGAGGTTGCTCGTTTAATCAAAGAGAGATTCGAGAGGGATCGAGGTCGACGGACGGGAAGAAAGAATACGTTTTCTCTCTCTCTCTCCTTTTCCCTTCGGCGAAAATGAAAAAGTTCTTTCGCCCGGCAACGACGTTTACGATTCCTTCCAATAAAGTCGCGTTCCGAGTCGACTCGACTCGTGATTCTCTCGCTCTTTACATTCGGTCCGTTGCACGGCCCCAAGAAATCGAATTACCCCGAACGAAAAGATTTCCACCGAATATCGAAGGAGCATTGCCCTCTTTCCGAAACGTCTCCTTTTTTCTTCGAACGATTTCTCAGAGATTTTTCTTCAGAGCAAGATAAGGACGCGGAAAAGTAAGAGCCAAGTTGGACGGCAATGTTGGATAACTAGATTTTCAGGTGACGAGGAAATCGTGAAGAGCGAAGGCACGAGATTAGGGCGTTTAGGATCGAGCTCGTAAACTGCCTCGTACAATTGTACAAGTGTGCTTTTAAGCGAATCGAATTTGAAAGATTCGGAAAAGAAGAACGCGTAATAATATCATCGTTGAAAGCAACGACTCCAAACGCGTTCGTCGATTCGTCTATCGCGAGGCGTTGAAGAGGAGGAATTATCCCGGGGCGAGGATAATACACACAATCGCGAGCTTTACAACGTTTTAATCGGTCCCCATCGGGTCGCGCCGTTGTCTACAAATATTTGCCGGATCCGAAAATTAATCGCGCAATTTCACCGATCGTGCAAACAAGCGGGCGCCTCGATCGAAATGTCGATCGGGGCGAAAAGGAATCGACGAGAGGAAACGGCTCGTTAAATATTCATGGAAGCGGCAAGGAAGAGACGCCCCTCCATTTATCCCATTAAATAATGAGATATATAAATTAAATTCGGTGCACGCGTCGTTTCCTCCGTTTCCCGCGTCCGGCTGTGTACGCGCACGCCCCTATTCCATTCGCTCCTCTCCACCGATCGAAATCGAGAGAATAGGGGAAGAAAAATCAGATTTTACGATTAACTTTCGAACAATAATAACTATGCTTACATGTCGATGAATCCGAATTTAAACGAGGGAGGAAGAACGTCGAGTTTTCTACGCAATTTCGATCCCTCGTAAAACCGATTATGCAATCGATTTTATCCATCGATTTCGGGTAGGACTTCCACCGATTTTCACTGCGTCGGAAACGTGGAACGATTTACAAATGAAATCGAACGGAGAGCGATCGGGATCTGGTCGCGGTTCGCCGCGTATTATGACGACGATTAAAATATTGGGCCTCGTCGTAAACGACACCGGTGCTTAGCACGGAAGAAAGTACCGATTGCCAATTGCCCCCTATAAAAGTACCTTGTCACCGAGACCCGGTATCCAGTTGTTCTCGGCCTGTACACCCGAAATATCGGCGAAATGGCGACGTTGGTAAGTTCTCATCGCTTTCAATTCCCTTCTTCGTAAACGATATATCGTTGACACACATATGTTGAAACACATCGTGAAAACTTCGTCGTTGTTAATCGCGTCGTTTTTCCAACTCTAAGTCGATCGTTTGCGTTTCGAAGAGGATAATACCAAGATGAGCGTTATCTCACTCGTCGAGCAGAAAAGGAGAAATTGAAACGTGCGACAAGAGACAAAGAGACAAAAGTAGCCGTTAAATGACGTTATTCCAACAACGTTCGTCCAAATCGATTCTGGACAAGGCTCGAAAATTTATCTCGAAAACGCAGCGTTCTAAAGATAACTTTAAAGATACATTTCCACCGATTCGACTAATTCTCAAATCGCGACCCAACGTAAATGAACGTGTTTTAACGAATGTGAAACACGTTCGTGTTTGGAATTTCGTTTGCCGAGAGAATAAAAATCTCTGATTATGGTACACGTGGTGTTCGTATTCGTTCTCGTCTAAAAAAAAAAACGCTTCCCGATCGTTCGATAGCTATAATTCGACCAAGCTCGAACCCGAAGATTCAATTTCGCGGGCCCGCGTGTCTATCTCTCGGCCGCTTAAACCTTAAACTTCCGCTTCTTCTCGGCCGTGCAAAGGGGGGAGGGGAATCTCGCGACAAGAAACGGCGGATAACGGCGATAAAACGAGGCGGCGACGATTTAGTGGATATTATCTCCGGTTTTTCCGCTCGGCCGTGCTCGGCGTTTCGCACGTGCGCCATTGCCGGCCAAAATGGCCCGCGCCAGCCCCGACGTTGTTTTATTATCTCGGTTACCCGAGCTAACGTCCGCTATAACACCATCGTATCGTAATGAACTCGCTTGCGGCTAAACGATTTTCGAAAATTAGCAATCATCCCTTCCCTCCCCTTCCCCGATCCGCCGCGTTTTGGTGCCACGTTCGTCCCTATCAACGCACGCGCATATATATAGACAAACGGGATTTTTGTAAACAAAATTTTAGCTCCGATCCAGTTTTTGCGGTTCGTCGTCCCGATTTTTCCATTATTTTTTTTTTTTTCCAACCTTCTGTTTCTCTCTGTCCTTAGGCGTGGTTTCTAGCGGCAGCTCTGCTATTGACAGCGGTGGCTGGCCGAAATTTAAAACCACCGCCGCAAGAGAATCGGGCGAAACTGTCGGATCCCGTCAGGGTTCCGCGACAAGCGCAATCTCACGTCGTTGCGTCGTTGTTGGCCGACGATTCTCGACAGATCTCCCCTAGACAACAACAACAACAACGACTTTTCAACGTCGAGGCTCGGAAATATCCAAGGAAACGGCAATTGGCCGATCTTGGGGCCAATTTCCAGCCCAATTTCGCGTTGCCGTTAAACGGGCAGCCACGCGCGCCGTTGCGCACGGCCACCTTCGACCCGGCCACCAAGACCACCACCATCGTAACTCAACGAATCAACGAGGTCGCCGATCAACGGATCGAGCCTCGAATCTCGTCCGGCGTCGTTTTCGCGACGCCTCGAGGGAGCCATCATTTCGAGCGTTCCTTCCACCACGAGCACGGCCACCGCCACGGGCATCATCACTCCCATCATCACGGCCACCACTCGCACCACTCGCACAAGCATCACAGCGAGCACGAGCACAAGCACGGGCACGAGCACAAGCACGAGCACAAGCACGGGCACGAGCACAAGCATCACGGGGAGCACCACCATCACCACGGTCATCAGCATCACTCGAAACACGAGCACCACGAGGAGCACAAGCATCACGCCGAGCATCACCACCATCACAAGCATCATCATCACAACGAGCACCACCACCACCACGAGCACCACCACGTGAACGAGCATCACCATCACCACAGCCACAAGGAGACCGAGAATCACCACCATCATCACGGCCACGAGCACGAGGAGCATCACAAGCACGGGCACAAGGAGGAGCACAAGCACCGACCACGGCCACGAGCACAAGCACGGTCATCACGAGGACCATCATCACTCTCACCACGAGGACCACCATCACAAGCACGGGCACGAGCACAAGCACCAGCACCACCAGGATCATCGTCAC